GTTCTTCCAGAGAAAACAACAACCCAGTGCTCTTCTGTTTCTCTTCTTTTATCACTGAGCCCTCTATGAAATGCCAGTGTGGTACTGAATTTTTTTTTTTTTTTTTTTTTAATTTTTTTGTATTCAATTTCCTGCTGCACTTCCAGCCTGTACCAAAGCAAAGGCAGGAAGGAAGAGAACATTGTCTAGAACCTCCCTGAGGAGCTCTGGCAGTGAAACAACAGAACTTGTGGACACTGCCCTGGCTTCAGGGTGAAGGTTGGGCCCAGCAGCCTCTGACCAGAACCTGTAGATATTGTACTTTAAAATGGCAGTTTTCACGTGGAACAAACATTGGACTTTTTCTAAGTTGTGCTGATTGTATGTGAGATAGTTACAGTCTGAATTCTCTATTTATTGTGTGGGTTTATTTGAATGGGCAGAGCAAATCCACTTGGCACAGTTAAAAAAAAAACAACCCAGCCAAAATATATAAAATCAGCCCCCAAAAAAGCAGCTTTCCTCCTTTGCAACACAACTCTAAGTATCTGGAGAACTTGGACCAGAAGATTTTTGGTGAAATGAGAAGAAAGCAGCAGCTGGGCCATCTCCAAAACCATTCCCTTTATTTTGGGAGTGATCTTCAAGCCACCCTCACTTCCCCCACTAATAAAGGTGGGTTAGTCTGACTCTGCTTCATCCTCGGCCCCATCTGCTGCCAGCCCTGTCTGGTAGCACTGGGACAGAGTCCTCAGCTCCTCCAGGGCCTCCTGGAAGTCGTCCTGCTCCAGCCCGGCCGTGCCGAAGCTGCTCCAGCGCCTCACTCTGGGCTCCTGCAGCTCCCGGCACAGCCCCGAGAGCAGCCAGTGCAGCACGGGGGAGCTCTGCAGGGCTGCCAGCACAGGAACGCTCTCAACGCCTGCAGGGAGACACATCAGGGCTGAAACATCTCCCCAAAAATCCCAAATCTCCTCCCCTGCCCTCTGCTGCTTCACAAGCTTCGAAGATCGAGCCTTACTGGAGCTCGTCTGCTCCACACTCACAACTCGTGCCTCTCAAACGCTCCATGCTGGCTTTGTTATTTATGTCATGATTTTTTTTTACCTTTTGTTAGGGTCTGATCTCGCTGTTGCAGAGTTTAAGGGGCATTTGTTACCTGCTGAGGAAAATCCCTGAGCTTTGTCCAGGAGGAAACCTCGTCTGGTGAGGAGAGGAGAGAAGAACTGGGGGAAGGGAGGCCGGGTGTCACAGGGCTGCTGGAGCACGAGGGATGTGCTGGGAGGAGAAGAATAAAGTCACCCAGAGCTCCCCCACCTGCTCCTGTCCTAAACCAGCACCTCCTGCCTGCACCCACCTGAAGGCTCCTGGGAACTGGGTGTGCAGGAACTGCTGGAGCAGCTGCTCAGGGCTCTCACAGCTGTGCAGGGGGGACGGGGGCAGGCCCGGGCAGCTGCTGCAAAGGAAATTCAGGGTTTTCCAGCCTGAAACCATCACTGCCTCAGCTGCTTTTTAGCTCTTTTGCTCTAAAATCCAGTAGCACTCAGTCACTAGACTGCTCCTCCCAAAGGGAGGGAGTGTGGATTCCTCCAGTGAGGAATCCCTGCAGGATGCTGCAGTTCAAATGCCGATTTACCTGCTGGATTTCTCTTGGCAAATTCCTCGTAGCACAACAGACTGAGCAAAGCAGCAGCTGAGCTTTTGCTCCCTGCATGAGGACAGAAGCTTCCAGGGCAGGCCCTGCTGGTGGGCACTTAAAATATCCGGGAGTGAGGAGCCGGGTAAGGCAGGGAAGGGCAGAGCTGCCCACGCAGCCACAACCTGGATTTGGGTGACACAAGAGTCTGGAACACGCTCCTGGCAGGGAGGGTGTGCAGAACAGCTGGAGCACAGCTGGAAGCTGCCCTCACCTTCCTCCCAGAGAACGTGAGGGAGTCAGCAAAGTGCAGCATGGAGCCCTGCGAGGAGCAGAGCCTGTAGGGAGCCGTCAGGGTGTCCAGTGCTGCTGCCAAAATCGCACTGCTGTGGTAGTTCAGGGAGGCCTGGGGAGGAGACAAATGCAGGAATTACAGGACAGGTCACAGTCACCCCTTCCTGAAGGCAGTTTTGTGTATTTCATTTAACCAAACTGTTAAAAGTGTTTAACAGTTATGTCAGGGTTGGGATAAGCAGCCACTGTGTAACAGCAGCTCCAGCCCAGCTGTTTGCTAACAAATGCTTCAGTGCCAGTTTCCTTATCTTTCTTTGGCTCCTTCTGGCTCCAGTGAGGCTGGAATTACTCCAAGGATGGAGAATAATGTAGGAAAGCCTCTTCTTCAATGCCAACCCACCAGAAAGCACAGTGGCCAAGGAAATGTGTTAATATTTTCAAAAGTAGGAAGCAAACTACAGAAATCGAAAACTTGGCAGCTAAGTTCCAGTGAAAAAGCAGGAAAAGGTCTCTGCTGAGCAGAACAGCACCAGGAAAAACCACCAAACCAGAGAGCTGCAGAAAACACTTTGAGAGGAGTAAAGGTGCAAGAGCTCAAAGCCACCCGTGCTGGGTGATCCCAGTGCAGGACTTACATCGTATTTAATGTAGGGAAATGTCACAGGAGGCTGTGGCTTGAGTCCCAAACTCCCACTGAGTGACAGGGGGCAGAAGAGAGAGCTGTGACGAGAGAGGTGGGCAATGCCCAGGGCCGTGTTCATCAGTCTGTAAAAACTGTTCTGAGGGTCCTGGGGGAAATAAAAATTCCAGCCTTTAATCTTTAATGGATTTAGTCTGTCAACCCCAGGCTGGGCACCTGTTCTTGGTTGTCCCCATTGTTTACTCACTCCCACAGCACCCAGGACTGGAGTCAGGCCCCAGGTCAGGATCCCTTTCCGTGAATACTCATCGTGGAGCAGCTCTGTCACCTTGGCACCAACTCCAGAGAATCCATTGTGAAGGTCACAGAGGACCTGAAACCCCTGTGGGAAACAATGGCAGCACCTCAGATCCTGCTTCATCTTGGGCAGAAAGTTTCTTGAAAGCAAAGGGAGCTTGGAGAAGGTGAGAACCTGAAGGGAATCACACTCCTCAACATAGAAGTGCAACCGATCTTCCACCTCCTCGACACAGGCAGGGTCCTGCAGGAGACTTTCACCTTGCCCAAAGGCTTCGAGACAACCACAATCCCTAAGGGAAGAAGGGGTAGAGGGGTTCTTTTAGCCCTTTCATTAATCCTTGAGGGCAAAACTCAGCTCCTGTTTTGGGTTCTAGACCAAAGCCCTGGGCGTACCCATCGTGCAGGTACTGCCGGATCACGTAGAGACTCTTGGGGTGCAGGTGCACGTTGAGGAAATCGGACCAGAGCCGCACAGAGGGAGGGACACCTGCAGGGACACACACGGCAGAGCAGAGATCCTTTCAGCTCTGAGCATCCCTGTGAACGCACAAACCCGTCTTTAACCTGCCCCGTTCTTCAGCCCATTTGCTGCTCTGACCCAGCTCTCTATAAGCCGAGCAGTCTCATCCCATAATTTTCCTCCTCTGTTCACTATCGCGTTGTCCCACAGCAGGGGCCAGGGAATTCTGCCTTTCCGCAACTCCGATCCCAGCGAACGAACCTGGCCCGGCAGCACCGGGATTCCCCTTCCCGTCCCCGGCAGCGTCTCCCTAGGGAACAATCCCGGCGCGGTGGTTACGGGGGGAGTTCGCCTGGTCCCGGGCAGGGAGCGGAGCGGGAGCCGCGGCCGCGCTCACCCTGCAGCTCCCGGTGTCCCGCGGCGCGCAGCCCCCGCCCGGGCGGTCCCGGTAATCGGCCACGGCCCCGTCCCTGCGACACAAAACGGCGGCAGCTGCGGCGGCCCCGTCCCGTCCTGTCCCTTCCCGTCCCGTCCAGCTCCGTCCCGTCCCGCACTCACCAGCTCACCGGAGGCTCCGTGCCCGCCCCGTCGGGTCTGAGCGAGCCCACGCCGCCTGCAAGCAGAGCCCGGTCACGGCGGGGCCGCCCGGTGGTGGCGGAGCCCCCCCGTTCCCCCCCGTCTCTCGGTACCTTTCAGCTCCAGCGCCACCAGACGCGGCGTGGGGGTCTCGGGGCCGCCCGGGCCCCGCCCGAACCGGAGCAGCGCGGCCGCGTGGAGCTCGGCGGGCTCCGGGGCGCTGCGCAGCGCGGCGGCCTGCGGGGAACGGCGATGAACGGGGGAGAGAACGGGGGAGAGAAGAGATCAGAGCGAGCCCCGGCCCCGGCCCGACCCCTCCTCCCGTCCCGCGGCCCCTCCCGCACCTGCAGCCCCCACCAGTGCGCGCCCACGCAGCCCGAGTAGTGCCCGAGCTGCAGCGTGACCGCCTCCCCCGGCATCGCCGCAGGAACCGCGAGCGCGTCACGGCCGGGCCCGCCCCGGACGGGCGGGGAGCGAGCGGGGCGGGGACGAGCGCCAGACACGGCCACGGGCACGCGCACGGGGCACCGACACCGACACCGACACGGACACGGACACGGACACGGACACGGACACGGACACGGACACGGACACGGACACCGGGGGAACGGAGCCTTTATTGCGCTATAGGGGCCCCGCCAGCCGGTCCAGCTGCCGCGGGTTGGAGCCGCTCAGGAACTGCAGCTCCGCCTTCCCGTCCTCCGTGCGCGCTGCGAGGGAGAGAAACAGAGAGAGAGAGACACAGATTGAGGGGTTGGAGATGGAGGGAGCGGGCCCCGACACCGCAGGGCGGGCACAGCCGCGGGGTTTGCCCTCCCCGGGCACTGACCTTTCTCGTGCTGCAGCCACCTGCGCTCCAGGTAGTAGCCGTAGCAGCTCTCGAACTCCTTCGCGCTGTAGTTGGGGACCGGGATGGGCACAAAGGGGTCCAAGGCGTCGAACCCTTCCTGGGAAGAGAGGACGGTCGGGGTCAGTGGCGGGGGCTGGGTGGGGACACGGCCCAGACGCCTCAGGAGCTCACCCAGAGCTCAGTCATGGAGTCATGGAATATCCAGAGTGGGAAGGGACCCACAAGGATCGTCCAGTCCAACTCCTGACCCCGGAGACAAATCCCAACAATCCCATCCTGTGCCTGGGAGTGGTGTTCAAACGCTCCTGGAGCTCTGGCAGCCTTGGGGCCGTGCCCAGCACCCTCTGGGAGAAGCCTTTTCCTGATATCCAGCCCAACCCTCCCCTGACAGCTCCAGGCATTCCCTTGTGTCCTGGTCACAGGGAGCAGAAATCAGAGCTGCCCCTCCTGAGGAGCTGCAGATCCCTGAGCTCTCCTTTCAGTCTCTTCTTTTCCAGCTGGACAGACCAAATGCCCTCCTCATCCTCCAGACCCTTCACCATCCTCGTGTCCCTCCTCTCTTCAGCATCTTCAGACCTTTCATAGATTCTGATGCCCAAACTGCCCCCAGGGCTGGAGGTGAGGGAGCCCCAGACCAGAGCAGGGACAGTCCCCAGCCTTGCCCCTGTGCCTGGCACTCCCCAGGACACTCCTGGCTGCCAGGGCACTGCTGACCCAAAGCTGTGTGTGATCCACAGAGACCCTCAACAGTGTCCCCTTGAACAGAGCCAGGTCACCAACTAAGATTTTTGTTTGTTTCCCAATGTGAAGAGGGGAAAAAAAACCAAAAGAGGCCGTGACTCACCTTTCCCAGCAGCTCCTGGGGAGTGTAGGCTGAGCTGGGTTTGAAGAGTGAGCCAGTCTGGCTGAGGGTGGTCACAATGGCACCTCCACTCTGGAAGGCACATCAGAAATAAAAATCCTGTTAGCTGCAAACCCACTGCTGGTTTAGGATCAACCCCTGAGGCATCTTCTTCTTGAAGGATGGAGCTGCTGGAGCAAGTCCAGAGGAGGCCACAAAGGTTCCATGATGGAGCCCCTCTGCTCTGGAGCTGGGCTGGGAGAGCTGGGGGTGCTCACCTGGAGAAGGGAAAGCTCCAGGGAGAGCTCAGAGCCCCTGTCAGAGCCTAAAGGGGCTCCAGGAGACCTGGAGAGGGACTGGGGACAAGGGATGGAGTGACAGGACAAGGGGGGATGGTTTTTCACAGTAACAGGGCAGGGATGGATGGGATATTGGGAAGGAATTGTTCCCTGTGAGGGTGGGCAGGGCTGGCACAGGGTGCCCAGAGCAGCTGTGGCTGCCCCTGGATCCCTGGCAGTGCCCAAGGCCAGGCTGGACAGGGCTGGGAACAGCCTGGGATACTGGAAGATGTCCCTGCCCATGGCAGGGGCTGCAACTGAGTGTGTTTTAAGATCCCATTCTGGGATCTGGATTCCTCAAAAATTCTACAAGATTAACTTTTTATAATGCTCCTGACCACACTAATCCTGGCTGCTCCAAGTCCATGAGAGCACAGGGAAAAAACACACAGCTCATGTTCCCAGGGCTGGCATGAAAAAATGGGTTTTCTATGCAAACAAGTGAAATACTTTAAATAATACTTTCCTATTTACCTTTAAATCTGAAGCCTACTCATTCTAGCTCTGAGCATCCAGGGGATTGAAAAAGCAGCAGGAGGAGTTGACCTCCTACAGCAAAACGTTCAGAAACCAGAAGTTCTCATTAGTTTAAAAAAATCATGACCCAAACTGTCCCAAGGGCCATCAAACACCTCCAGCTCAGGAGGTTGGCAGGGGAATCAGGAGATGCTGCTGCAGATTCGAGCTGTTCTCATCCCCTCAGGTGGTGTCTCAAACACTGGTGAGACCCTGATGCTGTGCTCTCCTTCAGCAGTGCTGGACTCGTGGCTTTGGGCTTGTGGCACCTTTAATTTCTGGGAGTGACAGAGCCAAAGGCAGAGCCTGGAACTCACCCAGTCGTTCTTCACCATCTTGCGCAGGTTGTGCACGAGCGTCAGCTCCTCTGGAGAAACCTGGTGGGGATTGCCTGCATCACTTTTTATTGCCAGCAGCTTCTATGTGAGACATGAATTCCCCTCCCCTCCTCCCAATTAGGCTGGCAGGATCATTTGTATCCTTCAGGCATGTTTTTTTTTTCTTTGCTTTCCCTTAGCCCTGCAGCATCGAGCCTGAGTCATGCTGCACTCAGCAACACCCAGGCCCTGCCTCTCCAACGACACCCACCTGCAATTTTGTCTCAGTAAAAATTCAGTAAAAATTGTCTAAGGCACAATTTGAACCTTTCAGGCCCTTCCAAAGCCTGAACATTTTCAGGGATTGCCATAGAACAAAAACTGAACCAAACGCCCTCCCTGCTCCCCCTGCAGCAGGAATCAGGGCAGAACTCTGGGGAGATGATGAGGGGGGAATGATGCCTTAGGGTTGTAGCTTTTATATTGTACATATATTTACAGTCCTGCAATTCTTTAGTGTGTAACTCTAAACTCCATACAAGGTTAGCTACAGCTTTCCCATTTTGGTCAGACACAAAAATTCCTCTCTGGGCCTGGGAATGAAGCACACCTCACTGTCACAGACCTCGAGAAATGTAAACAAAAGTGAGTTGGGGGGAGCAAACTTGGGAGTAAATTACTTCATTACCTGAAGCTGTAATTGAAGAATAACCCCCAAGATACAAATGAACCAAACTTAGAAATGTGTACAAACCCATCATCCATTTTTTGGATGGAGCCCGTGGGAGGGGGGGGCTTTGTCTGCCCGAAATGTACCTGAAGACCCTTCAATAAACACAACCACTCTGTACTCCCTTCGTTTTGTCTGGGCTGTTTTTAGGTGGCCCCAAGGAAGCTCACAGGGCTCTTGTCCTCCTTCCTCAGCGTGGTCTGTCCCCAGAGCGCGTTGACGCCGTCCACGGCCACCAGGAGCCGGAAGGAGCCGCGGTGACTCTGCTGCTTTAACTCCTTCAGCACCACCCCCACGGCATCGCTGGCACTCCTGACACGAGCCAGACCCTGCAGGGAGCACAAGGCACAGAGCTCAGCTCGCCTTCCTGGCTAGGACGTGTCTTTTGGGCTGCCCTTCCTCGGGGGAACACGAACTGACACTCAACAACCTCGTCGTTCCTTTCCAAGTTTGAGCATCAGAACGTGGGAGTTTTAAATTCTAATTTTGTGTTTGTCCTGGTTTAGGGCGAATTTGGGAGAAAACCTCTGAATGGGGTCCCTCTAGGAAACGGATTCAAGCAGTCCCTCCTGCAACTCGGGGAAATATTCCCTTGGGAGAAGTGGAAAAAAAAAAAACCCGTCCAAATTCTCTGTACAATTTTCTGTACAGAACCACCACATCCTCCACAATATCTTTTGTTGATAGTGAGACACCTTCTATTTCCCAGGACTCACATCTCTAAGACCTTTAGGAGCAATCTGTTCCACAAGCACAGATCCTCTGGTACAAGGTGAGAGCTCAGCAGGTGCAGTGGATGTTCCTTACCTGCTCCACCACTTCCCTCAAAGGTCTTCCCTCCTCTGTGCTTTCTCGTTTGCCCCACATGTATTTCTTTTGTGTTTTTATCTGTGGGAAGAAAACTGTGATTAGCTTGGGATGAAAGGAGGCAAAGCAAGGCTGGACTGCAGAATCTGGGAGAAATATCCACCATCAGCAGCCATCCCCACAAAGGGGATCCCAAGTGCTTTTCCTACAGCACCTGAAGTCCAGCACAGGGCACTGGGTGGGCTCTGCAGCCACAAACCTCTTGCAGGAAACGTTCATTGGAGGTTTTGAAGTTCTTGAGCCAGACAGAGGCCTGCAGAGGCTGATCCAGCCTGTCTTTGTTGTAGGAAGACTGCAACAGCTCCTTGCAGTTCTTCACCCAGAGATGAGCTGTAAGCAAAAGAAAACAATTGTTTTGAATTTTTTAAGTCAAAATAATGGTATGAGGTGGGGGTGGTTGGGGTATTTGTGTTGCTTGTGCTTAATCTGCAACTCTGGTAAGGAAAGTCACAGAATTATGGAGTGGTTTGGGTTGGGAAGGACCTTAAAAATCAACCCCTGCCATGGCAGGGACATCTTCAAGTATCCCAGACTGCTCCAAGCTCTGTCCAGCCTGGCCTTGGACACTTCCAGGGATCCAAGGGCAGCCACAGCTTCTCTGGGCACCTGTGCCAGGGCCTGCCCACCCTCACAGCCAGGAATTTCTTCCCTATATCCCATCTACCCCTGCCCCCTTGCAGTGGGAGGCCTCTTCCCCTTGTCCTGTCCCTCCACTCCCTTGTAAACAGTCTCTCCATTTTTTTTGTAGCCCCATTAGGTCCTGGAAGGTCACAATTAGATAAACCCAGAACCTTTTCTTCTCCAGGATGAACAATCCCAATTCTCCCAGCCTTTCCTCACAGCAGAGCTGCTCCCCTGATCCCTCTGATCATCTTGGTGCCTCCTCTGGATTCATTTCAACAGCTCCATGTCCTTCCTGTGCTGGGACCCCAGAGGTGGATGCAGCTCCAGCCTTACTGG